CGTGTCTGACTCTCCTAGGAGGGACGTTATACAGGGTGTCAATCTCTCCCTCTCTCTCTCTCTCTCTCTGTCTCTCTCTCTCTCTCTCGCTCCACGCCCTTTACTTGTAACCCCTGTTTTGGCGATCTTTCTGTGCTCGTGTCGATTAGCATCATCTGTGGTAGTCCTGAGTGTCCTGTGGTGGGAAGACCCTCCTTCCAAGTTGAAGGACTCACGGGTCCTCACTTGGTGGTGAGGCTCCTGCATCCTGGTGCCGATCGCTGGAGTGCACACTGGTACTTGTCCTCGGGCCAGGTCTACTTTGTCTGCCCTTCTTGTCACAGGCTTCTCCCTGCTCGGGTTTCAACCCACTTTTTGCTCTCTATTTCAAAGCGAACCCAGGGTTCTGAACACCCTCCTCTGCTCCTTAGCGAATGAGACTGAGACTGTCCTTAGTCACCAGACTCCAGGCCACCCTGAAAGCCACACCCCCTCTTCCTCCTGTCTCCTGGGCTGCCACCTTTGATCAGAGGCTGCCATTTCATGTGACTTGTGGTTTTGTGGCCACAGGTCAGCCGAGTCACGGTTTGACTGAAGTTCAGAGTTCAAAGGCAGCCACGGGCTAATGGCAGCATTGGCTCCTGGTGCTGACAGAGCCGCCCCAGAGTGGGAAGAAGCAGGAACTCTGCGAGCCGCATGGAGGGAAAGGTGGGGGCGTCTTGGATGATGAACTCTGAGGAAGGCGTGGTGTCGGGGTGGATGCCGACTGTGCTCTGGGCTGCCCCGGCTCTCCTTGTCAGGGCGTGTGCCCACGTGCGGCTACAGCGCAAGCAGTACCCAGAACATGCCTTTTCTTCTGTCTTTCATGGATCGTGAAACTGGCATCCTGGGCCTCTTACTGGTGTATACGCGGCTCAGGACACGAAATGCACACAGCTCAGGATGGGAGAACCCCATGGCTCAAGACACACATGTGGCTCAGAACGTGGTGTCCACATGACTCAGGCCACGACCCGCAACTCAGGACATGACATGCACACTGCTCAGGATGTGACGCCCACACAGCTCAGGACACACACACGGCTCAGGACACGCACATGGCTCAGGACATGACACACACATGGCTCGGGACATGCACACGGCTCCAGACAGGCCGTCCCTTGTTCAGGCGATCCCCTTGAGAAACCGAGGTTGGGCAGTGGCTCTTGCGGTGGACTGCCCACGTGGTCCTGCGCCGACCCTGTCTATCCATCTGTCCATCCCACCGGCCACGGTGATCACTTTCTCTGGGACACTGTGCACACGGCCACGCCCAGGTGCCACCTTCCCCTTCTGTCACCGGTGTCCCGCCAGCTACACTCCACTCTTCCCCAGAGAAAAATAGGGTCACATGAGGACAGCTGTGGGCTGGGTACGCAGCAGTCACAGGGCAGGGCTGTGGAGCCCTGGGAGGCTGCTTGGAGCCCTTGACCTCCCGAGGCGGGCTTTACTCCAGGCCCGGCAGCACCGCCAGCTTCCCTCTACCCCAGGAGAACATGGGCAGTGAAGGAGGACTCGGCCTTCCAGGACCGAGTAGGACAACACGCCCCCATCCACACCAGGCTGTCCCCCCTGCCCTGGGAGGCCAAGGACTATCAAGTCCATTGGTGTGGCTTCCCAGTCACCTTGAGCTCAAGCCCAGAGAGGCCAGGCTTTGCCACAGCAAAACACAAGTCTGTTCCTTACTTTTTCCATTCAGATCACCGGCAAAAAAATATATAAAAGTAGTCAAGGGCTTTGGTGGATGGCCTGGCTGCTGACCCGGAGGTAAAAGGTCACTGCAGACAGGCCAGCAGACCAGCCTCTGCTCTCGCCCTCTGGGCATCCTGTGGAGCCATAACCTGGGTGGGCACACCTACGCTACCCAGCACCGGGGCAGAGTTCTCAGGAACAGGACCCAGGAGGAGGGGCCGGGCGGCTTCCAAACTGGTTTTTCTCCTGTGTTTAGTTAAAAACAGCCCCGCCCAGGCCCTGCCTGCGGCCAGCAGATGCCCACGGTGAGAGTCAGCTCTGGGCTCCGCCATCTGTAGACGTGGCCTGTGGGTTTCCCTGTTCTGCCCTGTTTCCTGCCGGCCGTGAGCGGTGGGGGCTGCCCAGGCCCCGTGTTCATGCCCCGCCATCCCTGCCGTTGGAAGTGGCCCTGGCTGCTGAGGGAGCACAGGGAGAGTCACCCCTGGACTCATCCTCCCGAGTGCCTCGGGGAAGGGGAAGGGCGCCTCTGTAGAAGTCCCATGTCCAAAAGCCAAAAGCCAAAGGCCGGGTGCGCTGTTTCCTCCCAGCCAGCTCTCGCCTGCCACTGCTGCTTTAACTGTGAAACAGAAAACACAATAGCGGGCACAGCAGAATCAGTGTGGCTTAATGCATGGTTATCAACACGAGGGACTGTCAAGCCAAGGAAACAGGATGCTTCCGTACGGCAAGACCCTCCTCAGCCCTCTTGGTGCCTGTAGCCCACACAGGCCTGCTTCCTGGGCACTTGGGCGTGTCACCCCTCGCCTCTTGTTGGTTGATAGTTTTACCACCTAGGCGTGCATCCCTGCACAGAGCGGGTGGCTGTCACATGTGTGGGGACTTGGGGTGTGTGATCCTGGAGCATGTTTGTGCTCGTGGGACTTCCGTGCGGGTCAAGCTGCACCGGGCTACTCTTGTGGATGCCTGGTTCACCTGCCCTGTAGTCCGTGAACATTTAGGTCGTGGGCGGGTTTTGCAGGTGAACTCGCTGTCAGCAGCCCATAGACTTCCCAGGTGGGGGGCATGGCGCCTGTGGGTCCTGCCCTGAGAAGAGGGACTGCAGATTCCAGGGCGGGCATAGGCCCAGCCTCAGGAGATCATCCCAGGTTGCTTCCCCAAGTGGGCGCACCGGTGCACGGCCCTGTTCACAGCAGCACTTAGAGCTGTCCTCTTAGTCGTCGCCTTTCTAAAGAGTGTGGGGTGGCACGTCTGCTGTAGTCTTCATTTGTATCAGCCAGATTTCAACAAGGTCAATGGCACCATCTCCCTGGCCATCTGTGGCCCTTTATCTCAGGTTTAGCCATAAGAGGCAATCAAGTCACAGGGTGGGACAAAGTGTGACAGATTGGACATGGGTTCAGAGACCAGAGTTCAGATCCCAGATTAGCTCCGTGCCCCTGGTTCATAGCTGTGACCCTCTCTGTGCCAGAGAGCCTTCTGCTGTGCCCTGTAGTTGCCGTCTTCCCAAGGCTGGCCTCGTGGTCAGTTGGGTCACCTCCCAGTGCCTCATGTGTGTAGCTGCTTGCACCTCCCAGAGACCCTGTCCACTAGCCATGGACGTGACGTCTGTGAGACGAACCCAGCAGGCATAAACAACCACATGGTAAGAAGGCTACACTGGAGGGTAGACCTGGTTTGTTTTATCCTATGGTTTTTGGTTTTTGTTTCTTCTGGTTAGCAGTCATTCTGTGCTCAGTGAACATGAGTCAGTGAACTGCTGACTTCAGCTGGCCTGTGACCACTCACACTTTGGGGCACTGGTGACTCAGATGGTGTAGGAAGTCTCAGCTCCCCTGCCTGGAGAGGCCTTGGGGACCCCAGGTGCATGTCCTGTGCCCTCCCAGCTGCCCTGAGCGGGGTGCATTGAGGGTCTGCTGTGTGCAGCCAAGCACCACCTGAAAAGACATTTCTTTATAAAGTGCCAACTTCCATGCCACAGCTTGGCTTTCAAGTGTGAGATCATCTTTGGAGATGAGTCTTGGCAGCAGCAAAAAGGAAGTGCACGCGGCTTGTCCTGGCCTAAAGTCCATCTCAGCTCTTGTGGCCATGGGCTGGCCTCTTGTAGCCAGGAGGAGCATCAGAAATCCACCCCCCACCCACCCCATGCAGGGATGCCCAGGGATGTGGCCCAGCTGAGCTTGCCTGGGCATGGCGCTTCTGAGCACAGCATATCGGGAAATGGTGCACCTGGGCACGACGCATTTGGAGAGGCTTTCTGGGGCCCTTCGATTCCCCACTCTGGATCTCGCTCTTGGCAGGGGTGGGGCAGCTCAGAGGGGAGGATGGACCCTGGGTGCTGGTGTTAGGGGCTTTGCACCACTTTGTGCCTTTCAGCTCTCAGCCTCTGTCCAGACCTTGCCCTGCCCAGGTCCTTTGGCCCTCCCCCGTGGACCTCCCACCCACCCTTATGTGCTCCTGGGTTTGCTCATCGCATGTCATCAGGCTCCCGAAGCTCCAATCACCAATTGGACATGGGGCGGGGTGGCACTGACATCGTCCACACTGACAAGGACCCCGGAACCAGCCAGCCGGGTGGCACAGCCGCAGGACCCTAGATGACTCCTCAGTGGGGTCTGTTGTCTACTGAGGACACATCCAACAGTGTCCTCACTTGGGCGGTGCTCAGTCCCGCCCTGCCTCCCGCTTCCTGCCTGGGCAGAGTAGGAAAGGCAGAGACGACCCGGGGTTTGAAGCCTCCAGTCCCTCTGCCCCGGGCCTGACATCCATCCACACCCAGGCAGGTGAGGGAGCAGCCTGGCTGTGGGCCCAACCCAAACGCAGGCTCCGGCAAAGGAGGTCTGAGAGTCCAAGGGCTACAGGGATTTTCAGGGCAGGGGACATGCGCTGGCAGCCCTGAGCAGCCCTGGTGTCCCTGCACCAAGCGCCTGCCTTTCCCAATGGCTGCCAGGGAGTGGGGCCTCACCCACGGCCCATCCTCCCACCATCCTGAGCCGTGAGTTGTGCCCTCTGCCTGGATTGGGCAGAGCCTCAACCCCGAGCTGGACACTGCTGTGGGCTGCCACCCCAGAGGATGGGCTTGGGGCAACTGCTGACACTGCAGCCAGGGAGTATCGTCCGGGCTCCACTGGGGACCACAGGCCAGAGTGATGCAGGGATTGCAGACTAGGTTGGGGCAGGGACCGAAGCCCGGCCTGATGCGGAGACCCCAGGCCAGGGGGATGCAGGGACTGCAGGCTGGGATGACGCGGCACCCACGGACCAGGCTGAGGCAGCCGTGTCCTCTCTCACAGGATCAGGGCCAGGGACAACAACGGCTCATACGCGCTATGCCTGCTGCACGAGGGGAAGGTGCTGCACTACCGCATCGACCGCGACAAGACAGGCAAGCTCTCCATCCCCGAGGGCAAGAAGTTCGACACACTCTGGCAGGTATGCACCCCTCCCCTGTGGCAGTGCATGGCACCTGGGCCTTCCCATCCCATGAACTCGGACACGGGAAGAGCAGGCATGTCCATACCTGGAGCTTGCTAGGAACCCACACCAGGGCCCTCTGGCAGACTGTCATACTCAAGCCTAATCTGGGGCTTGATAGGGTGTATTTTCCAGATACCATGTTTCGGAAAGTACATCACATATGTCCACCATGCCTTCCATCTGACACCGGTTTCCCCCATAGCCCCTCCGTGCCCCCCGCCCCCAGGGTCCTGCTGCACTGTGCTAAGTGAGACCTGGTCATTTCTCCCCACCCTGTTTCATAGTCTCCGTGTCAGACCAGGGCTCTTCAGACCTGCGGACCACACAGGCCTCTCAGCTTGTTTCTGTACAGTCCGTGAAGACAGTGGCTTCTACACTGGTAAAGGGTTGTTTCCAATAGATGAAGAAGGGGCAGAGATGGTGAGAGGCCCACCGCGCCTGAGATGCCACTCTCTGGCCCTGGACAGGAGTTTGCTGACCCTGCCTGAGCGGGAACTCCTCAGCATGCGGAGTGAACAGTCAGTGGACAAAAGTGTCCAAGCACCCTGGGGTTGAGTCCAGAAGGCCCGACAGGCTTAGCCCCATCCCCCCACCCTGCCTCGTTCCCTGCCTCACCGCCCTACTCTCTTCTCTTCCAGCTGGTTGAGCATTATTCGTATAAACCCGACGGTCTCTTGCGAGTGCTTACGGTTCCCTGTCAAAAGATTGGCGCCCAGGGTGAGTTCCCGAGATGCGGGCATCTCCATTTCTGAGATGGGCCAACTTTAGATTTGGGCATTGCAGATTCAGGTCGAATGAGGCCGTATTACAACTTGATTAAAAATGATGTCAGATCACTTTAATTTTAAATATTAGGAATCAAAAAATAGCCAGTTGCTTTAGCTTTAAAAAAACGGATTTGTTTTCATTGCATGTAAGGGAAGTGAGTGAAAGAGGGTCAGAAGAGGTGTCCACGGAAGGGCAACCACCTCTCAAGTGACGTGTCACGATTCCGTGATCAATTGGCAGCAGGGGGGACATAGGCAGTGCACACTGATTGATAAAGCAGTGATCGATCAGCAGTGGGGCAGGGACTCGAGGAGTGCCCACTGATTGATAAAGCAGTGATTGGTTGGAGGAGACGCAGGGGGTGTTCACTGATTGATAAAGCAGTGATCAATCAGTCATGGGGGAGGGGACACAGGGGTTTCCACTGATTGATAAAGCAGTGACCAGTTGGCTGTGGGGGAGGGGACATAGGTGGTTCCCAGCGATTGATAAAGCCGTGATCTATCAGCTGTGGGGGAGGGAAAACAGAGGATTCCCACTGACTTAGAAAGTAGTGATCGATCAGCCATGGGGGAGGGAACACAGGGGGTTCCCACCGATTGATAAAGCAGTGATCAACCGGCCGTGGGGGAGGGGACATGGGTTTCCCACTGATTGGCAAAGCAGTGATCGACTGACTGGGGGAGGCCAGGCGGTGCCTGCTGATTGATAAAGCAGCGGCCATCCTTGCTCTTTCTGACCAGGACATGTGAATTTCGGAGGTCGTCCACAGCTCCCAAGTTCCCATCCTGCGGTAAGTGTCCCGGGGACACCCTGAAGGGGACGCGGCGTCTGTCACCACACATGGAGCACGCACTGAGCCATCAGGACTAGCGGACCCTGGCCCCGAGTGCCCTTCCAAGCAGCCCTGCGACAGGCCGGGGTGGCTGGGGAGCGTGAGGTAGACCAGCCTGTGCCATGTCAGTGCCCAGCTAGCCAGCTTGGAATGTGTTGGTGCCCTGACATGCTCCCCGCTCACGAAAAGTACACAGTGAGGCTGAGACCCAGGGCCCCGTCAGACGTGGCCCCCGCCGGGCTTGGGCCACGGGAGCACGTTGTGCAGGTGTTGGGACAGATGGATGCTCTGAGCAGCGGTTCGTCCCTGCTGTTTTCTTGGGGGCCCTGGGGTGGACTCGTGATGGCCTCTAAGGCGTCTGAAGTGTGCCCTCCGCCCCTCCCTTGCTACCTTCAGACCCTTGAAGTCAGAATCTGCAGAGAGCCAGCTCTGCGTCCTGTCTCCAGCAGGGGGAGCCGAGCCCATGTCTAGACGGGGCAGGCCGGCCCTGGGCCGCACTCGCTGTTGAACGGAGCGAACTTGACTTTGCTAAAATGCCAGTGAACTTGAGATCCACATCTAACATCCAGACCCTTCATGGCGTCTCTTTGCACAGCCCAAGACCTAGCAGCTTTCCTTTACAATCCTCCATAAGACAGGCCCATTTTCCTTTCAGGTGTTGGAGGGCTCAGGGCCAAGGACCCCCAAAAGAACCCCAAGCCCTCCACTTAGCCACGCCTCACCCCCTGGCCTCAAGTTAGCTATTTTGGAATAACTTTTGCCGACTGGCAACATATGTGCAGAAAAAATTGCAAAAGCCCTACAAAAGTATACAACTCAGTGAGTTTCCTCAAGCACCAGGGAGCTGGTGCCCACCCTGATATAACACAACTGAGCGCTCACACTGGGTTTCTTCAGGGGATTTGCCTCGAGCTGTGACTTTGTAATTCCAAATGGAGTGTGGACTCGCAAATGGAACAGCTCTCTTTGTTGCCCTCGGTGGAAAGTAGTTCCCAAACGTGTTTCTAGAGCCCTCTGCCTACATGGTGGGCTCTTCTAGGAGGCCACCCAGTGACTGAACATAGCTGCATAGCAGGTCTTTTGGGCGGGGCTGGGAGGGAGCTCACAGTGCAGTCACCGATGCCAGTTTAAGGCGCTTGTTGCGGCAGTGCCGTATTTGTTTTCTGAGACACTTACACTTCCTCTTTGCCATTGTGGTTTCCAGACTTGGTCCGCGGGTGGAATAATCTCAAGAATCAAATCCTACTCCTTCCCAAAGCCCGGCCACAGAAAGGTACTAAAGCATCCCTGCTTGCTGTCCCTGGCTCAGTGGTTGACCTGCACGCAGTCTGTGCCCGCCCGCCCGCCCCTCCCGTGTGTGTGTCCTCACCCCTGTGCCCTGCTTCCGGTCCTGCCGTGTGCGGCCTGGTCCATGCCCACGTTCCTGGGCAGCAGTGCCGACACCTTGCGTGTTTTTTCTGTGGGTCCTCAGTCCGCTGAAGATCCTTCTGTGTTGTGTGCTTTCTCTGCATGAGCCTAACATGAAAGGCATTTTGGTTGACGTGCTCAGTGCTAGCTAATTCTCATGTCGGGGAGTCTCTTTCCAGACAACTTACCTTTTGGTGGCCAGAGTCACTTATTGTAGGGTTCTAGTGACTGATTCCGTAGATGATACTGTGACGGAGGGAGTCTGTGGTCTTGTGAGGTGCAGGGCGTGGTGAGGTCCACAGGCGGCTTACAGTCCCACCACGGTGGCTGTGGTTGTTCAGCACAAAAGAGCACGGAAAGGAGAGTGGAAGCTGAGTACTAGGAAAAGCATTTTTCTTCTTGAGGCAGTAATGTTGCCATCTGATCGATTTCTTAATTTGCTCTATGATTAAATGTTGAGGGAAATAAGTCCCCTTTTACTGATTTTTACTTATAATAAATCACTCAGCCCCCCCCCAAATTCTCTTTATAGCATTTATTCATTGCTTTTTTTTCCCTTTCTTTCTTTTTTCTTTTTTTTTTTTTTGAGTCGGAGTCTCACTCTGTCACCCAGGCTGGAGGGTGGTGACATGTTCATGGCCACCACAGCCTTGACCTGTTGGGTTCAATTTCCTTTCTATTTTTATCCTTGGTAAGGTAAAGTGTATTCTTTTCTTAATAATTATTTTATTTTCATATCAATTGGTGCTTTTTTATACACAATTGTGCACAACTCACAAAGTGAGTGTCTAAAGTACTGTTAGAAATGGCAGAAATACAAAACACACGAGTCCTGAGATTTCACTTAGTAATAATTTTCCAGGTTGACAGGTTGATAGTCACACTTGAGCGGTTCTTAAACTTGTTGACCACAGAAAATAAAAGTGAGTTTAATGGACTTTTTGAGAGAGAAAAACGTGTGTGTTCTACATCTGAATGGATTAACTGTGTCTGTTTTTAATGTTATACCAGGCAAAACTCTCCACAGGTCACTCACAATGACTAAAGAAATACCTAGAAAATGATTTTCAGTTCCTCTTTAGGCTACAAGAAAACATGTTCAAAAAGTTGCAGAAAATGTCAGTAAATATGACCACATAAAATTAAAGAAAGATATGTGTGGATAAGAACAATAATGTCATCAAAAGAGAAATAAGAAACTGGGTATAAATAGTAGCCTTATGTAGGGGCGTGTGTGTGTATGGTTAATGGTTTTAATATATAAAGAGATTCTATAACTCAATAAGAAAAAATATCAACTGTGTACCAGGATAATGGGCAGGGCATGTCAGCAGGTAGCTTATAGTAAAGCAAATATAAATCGTCCTTAAACTTACTAATAAGAGAAAAGCAAGTTAAAACTATGGTCCCAACTGTGTCCATCCATGAACCCGAGTCAGATAAAAAGGCTTGATAGCACACTGTGTAGCAAAGTGTAATAAATAAGCACTTGCTTACTTTATTGGAGATGTGGCATGATACAATCTATAAGAAAGGCCATTTACAACATTGTCAAAATTAAAAGTACATATAGCTCAACTCTACAGTTTTATTTCTGAAGATTTATCATACAGATATTCTTGCATTTCTGCAAAATCCTGTATATACAAAGGTGTTTATTCCAACATTCTATAGTTGGCAAAGTCTGGTTATAATTGAAATGTCTATCAATGAGAAATAAACAAAGTCAGTTACAGTAAAATTGCTACTATGGGCAGAAACTGAGGTCTAGAATTGTTTTCCAAAATATAATTTTAAGACAAAGTTAAATATGTGCATATATATATAGAGAGAGAGTGAGAAAGATAGAGAGAGAGAGAGTGAGTACATGTGAGACTGTTGATATAGTATAGAATGTTCTGGAAGAAAAGATAAGATATTTTATATTCTAAGAAAATACTGGCTCCACTGGTTGACTTGGGAGTAGGAAAGAGGAATGTCAAGAAAGTCCACTTTTCATCATAAGTCTTGTTGTACCTTTTACAATTTGTACTTTTAAAAAAGAATTGAATATCAGAAAGTAATCTGGTTAATATTGTGAAAACACCTGCCTGGCCAAAAAAAGATTGTTGCCCGTACTTTGAAATATGCATTGAATTTGTATATATGCCAAAATATTAACAGGCGATTTTTAAAAGGGCAGGATTATATTATTAAGCTATGGATTAAAATATGTTAATTGCTTATTAGAAATATTTTAGGGGAACTAGTATGTATGTTTTCACAAAGAGATGGAAAACTTTCCATTATGTATTCAGTCATGAGGAAAGAATTGTGAGACTATGTCAAATACCTCATCGGTTTAGCCAACAACTTTCTTGAAATTGTTAATTTATAACATAAATAGTTGTTTTAATAACTCAGGTATGGCCGGGCTCGGTGGCTCAGCCTGTAATCTTATGCTTTGGAAAGCCGAGGTGAGTGAATTGCCTGAGCCCGCGGGTTCAAGACCCGCCTGGGCAATTTGGTGAGACCTTGGCTCTACAATAAATCAAAAAAATTAGCTGGGCATGGTAGCGTGCGCCTGTAGTTCCAGCTACTTGGAAGGCTGAGGCAGAAGGATCGCCGGAGCCCAGCAGGTCGAGGCTGCAGTGGCTGGGAGTGTGCCACTGCACTCCAGCCTGGGCAACAGAGTGAGATTCTAACAAAAATAAAAAATAACTTAGGTACAAAAACATGCATGTTAGGACTTGAATTGCCTGTAGCACCTAGATAACTAATGAAAAGTATGTTTCAGTTTGATGAATACTAGTAATCAGATCATTAAATTCCTCCTAGGAAAAACTAGAGGGCAGATGCATCTTAACCTTTTCTTTAGAAATTAGTAGCATATTTATACTTAAGAAAGTCAAGTGAATTTGACTAAAGCATACAAGTGCGGGTCGTCCCTAAATGAGCAATGCCCCTCCTGTTGTCAGTCCTGAATGTTTTCTTTGCTTCTTTGAGTGCATGGCCCTGCCCGTCTCTTAAGGCCACGCAGAATGGGATCAGAAGCGCCCCTGACAATCTACACAGCGTGCCCACTCCACGGTCAAAGTCTTGTTCTCTGAGGAGTGAGCTGAACTGTGTCCCAGAATTTCTCATTAAAACCCATTTGTCATGCTTCATCCCAACACATACATGAGTGAATGAAATACATTAAAGCTCACATTTAAATACACCATTTACTAGGGCTTGGCCGGGAGAGAGAAAAGAAAGGAAAGACATTCTCAAGTTGTCCCTGCAGGAGGTGGTGCCCAGGCAACAGGAGGAAACGTGTTTTCCTGTCATCACAAGGAGCGGCGGGGCGAGATGGGTCACAGAGGTGGGGCGAGTCGCCTCCCCTGTCCTGCGAGGGTCTGGCCTGTCCTGGGCAGGGCTCCGTGATCACCCCACCAGAGCCAGGGAGCCACCCTGGGTGATCACAGATGATATTCCTCACCTGCGGGCTCTTGGCACTACGACTAGCATGTGCGAGTTGTCAGCCACATCCCTGCTGCTGCCTGACTTGAAGGGTCTCAAGAATCCGGGCGCGGGAGTTAAGTTCTTGAGGACGTGTGCAGGACTCCGGATCAGAGACCCTTGGCTCAGCCTGTCCGTTCCGTAGGGGCAGTGACTTCCCCTCTTGTGTTCACTTCAAATCCCCAGTTTTTAAGCACAGGCTCTCGGAGCGTATTTGTCAAGCTCGCTTTGTTTGCAGTCAAGCCTGATCGACCAAAAAATCAGTGATCATAACCTATAACTAAGCTTTTTGCTGTTGTGGTGGAGTGATCTGTCAGTACCTGAATTCCTAAAACCGAGAGGGAAGCCACCCGTGGCTCTCGGAAGGCGGGAAGCTCGGGTCGCCAGTGCCATCTAGTGGTGCCCCGCAGGCTTGCTCTCCGAGACAGGCAAAAAAATGGAGAAATGGAAATCTCAACCTTTTGTTGACACCAGGTTGTTCACTGTGCAGAACAGGTGATGCTGCTGATTAGGGCAGAAGAGATGACCAGACGAAAGCAGAAGGAGTCATGACAAATGATGATAATGGGGGCTAGCAATGCGTCTTTCTTGAAAATTAACTTTTCACTAGCGTTTAAATAACAGTTAACACGTTTCCAGCATGGCGTGATGGCTTTGTGCTCACCCTTTCCAGGGTCCTCCAGTTCTCGTCCAGCAGTTGTCTCCGTTGCTGCTGTTCTACTAAATGGTGTGTTCACCAAGTGCTTTGGGAAGGATCTTGCGTTTCAGATCGTCTTGTGTCTTCCCCTTCATCCTAAAGCAACCGCTGCACTTTCTACCTGACTCAGTAGAAAGCCCTCCATTTCTCCCATGGAACGTTCTTCCAAGCGTGCTGCCCTCCTGTGTCCGCTCCCGCGAGTCACCAGAGAGGAACGGGCAGAGAGCCGTGCCCGGGAAGGAGGAAGCTGACGCGGATGTCCAAGGACACGTGGGCTTCTCTGTGGCTGGGCTGTGCGGGCTCTTGGTCCCAGGTTGGTCTATGCTGGACTGCATGGAGATGGCGCCCTGGGCCGCGTGGCTGGGTCTGGAGTCCAGCCTTCCAAGGGAGACCCCTGGTCTGTTTCCTTGCCCATAACCGAGGCTCGGGGTGAGCAGCGTGCCGCTTGCAGTGCTTGTGGCAGGGGTGGGCTCCTCTGAGTGCATCAGGGCTGGTTCCTACGGACTCAGGGCACCCTGGCAGCCTTTCAGGGCATTTTTGCAATCCCTCCTCTGTTTTAGCATTCGTCCCCATGGGATTCATGTGTCAGGGTGATACGCTTGGTGCACCGTAACAAGCCCCTGTGAAGTCCTGCTCTGAGAAAGCTCCAAGCAGGTGGGGCTGAAGTCCTGGAACAGCATCTCAAGCAGGCAGAGGGCTGGGGGTCTCTAGTCAGGAAGGGGCGGTAGTCTTTCTCCTTATCTGTGATGGCTGGTCCCGAGGTGTCTTGAGTTCCGCAGCTATTCAGGTTTTGTCTTTGCATCTCAGGAGTTTCCTGCCTGCAAGAAAAATGGAAGGAGTTGACATGATAGTGAATGTTAACTCTGACAGTGCCTTTTTGAAATCATTCTCACTTGGAGTTTGATTGTGGGGGGGAGCTGAGCCGGGGAGGATGAAGCACCATGGGCGTCACCTGGTTTCTGCTAGGACAGTTCTCCAGGGACAGAGGCACCATATTGTGAGTTGGGGGGGGCGACCACAGCACACCACAGTCCTGTAATCACATGCGCGTGTTGAGACAATTGCTGAAAAGATGTAGATTTGGAATTGTCCATACTCCTTTCTCCAGACTCAGGAGAGCTTCTTTTTAAGTTACGTTAGTTTACACTTCACATTTCCCAGTTTTTTCCCCTGCTCCTCCCACCCCCACTTTTCCCAGTTTTAAGAAGTGATTCATTCACTCTCTCATTCATTCATTCTTTCAACACATTTTTACTGCGCCCCAGCTGTGGCTGTGGCCTACGTCCCAGTTCATGAGTAAATGTCGGAGCCCTTGGGACATGCATTCTGTTTCCATTCTTGATGTATCTTGGCCACTTCTGCTCAACAACCCACTGAGAATGCTGGGCTTATCTGTGGGAAATGACATCCCTTTTTGACAAGTAAGATCCCATGTCCTCCAGCCTCTTGAGAGGGCTGAGCAGCACCTGTTTCTGATGCGCTCAACGAGGGTGAGAAAGACCAGGGCCAGGCGCTTAGACATGAAGCCTGGCATTGGCCATGGCACATGGCGACCACCTCGTCCTGCTTTGGTTGCTGGGCTTGTGATGTCAACAAGGCAGTCAAGGATGCGGTGTGTGCTGTGAGACACAATTCTGTGTCATGTGGCGCTTTGTTGTCTGTTTCTTTAAATTTCCCCAAATCTGGCACTGTCTCACATCTCTGTGGCCCGGTCAGGCAGTGAGAAGGTGAATGGAATGTGAAATTGCTCCTCAGCTCAAGTGGAAGAAGGGGGTGCCGTGTGGTTTCCCATAGACTAACTTCAACAGCAACGATCTGGTTTGAATTTGGCAGTCACGTTGGGTCAGGAACACTTGGGCAAAGGCTTTCACAGGGAAGTCCCTAGGAATACAGGGAGTGGATGTCCCTCTATCTCATGTTACAAATTGGTGTCGACCGGTCACTTCCAGGGACAGCAGTCAGGCCCCGGCAGCGAGGTGTCTCTTCAGACCTGCGTCCTCACCTGCCAAGGGCCCGAGGGAGGGGGCCTCTGGCCAGGACCTCCCTGGGTCCCCTACTGGGGCCGTTGTCATAACTCTCGTCTGCCGCTGTGGTCAGCCCTGGAGACCCGAGTCGCTGCTGTGCCCACACCCCAGTGTCCACCCAGAGGCGGCTGGGTCCCTCCGAGAGGTGGACACGGCTGGAGGCGGGGTTACACGTGGGCCTTGGAGGTAGGGGTGGGCAGGCAGCCACGGGGTCAGCTTTCCTCTCTGAGTAACTTCCATGTCCGTGCCGTCCAGAATCGAGGAGCGAGAGTTAAAGGGGAGAGGTGGATGAGGAGGGCGGATGGGGAAGGAGTCCCTGGCTGCCTAGCGGGTCCTCCATTCCTGGGGGCCTGACAGGCCTGTACCACGGTGGCCCCAGGCCACTCAGCCTCACACCCGAAGCTTGCATCCAGCCCTGTCTACCCCCGTGTCTTTCGTGCCCCCTCCTGTGTCTGTCCTACACACAGGTCCAAGTGCGCATCTTTGAAAATAAGTCGTGCAGATCCACAGTGTGGATCTGTGTGTCAGTGTGTGTGTGAAGTGCGTGTCAGTGAAGTGTGTGACCTGCTGTCCTTTGCCTCAGCCCACCGCCTCCCAGGGGAGCCGGCCGGAGAGTACCGTGTCCTTCAACCCCTATGAGCCAGAGGTGGCGTCCTGGGCTGCGGACAGAGGTGAGACTGGCCGTACCCATGTGCAGGACGAGGATGGGGCCCTTGTAAGTGTGTAGAGTTGGCTCTTGAGTCCACCTGCTGACTGTGATGGCCACACAGCCATGGTCAGCTGCAGCCACAGGGGTGTCTGGTGACTGGCGGCAGATGCCATGTGCCCACGAGCAGCAACAGGGCTGTGGGGGAAAGTGGGCTTCTCCTGCCCCCCTCAGTCGGTCCGCAGCCTTGGACACATCTAGGCTTCCCCTGAGAGCATCTCACCCCGTGGTGTGGGTGTTGCCCTGGGCTCCCATCCCCATGAAGGTCATGTCTTGGAAGGCTGAGTCCCCCGAGGGCTCAACCCGGGCCGTGTGTTTCCTGGCTTCCCCGTAGGCCCCCAGAGAGAAGCCCTGCCCATGGACACCGAGGTATACGAGAGTCCCTACGCAGACCCTGAGGAGATCAGGCCCAAGGAGGTGTACCTGGACCGTAAGCTGCTGACACTGGAAGACAAAGAACTGGGCTCTGGGAACTTCGGGACTGTGAAAAAGGGCTACTACCAAATGAAAAAGTAAGTCGCCACGCACCGCCGTGCAGTCCTGCCCACACGTGAGCCTGCGCTCTAGAAACTACTGAGAACACGTCCATCACGTGCGTTTAGTCCCAGACACAGAATGTCGCCACCTCCCTTTGAGTTAACATCATCATTTGTGTTCACTTCTGGTACTGTGCCTCCATGATGCAGACCACTGTGGGTGTAGTGGCTGAGTGCTTTTATTTAGACGTGGTGCACACACCTTATGGAAAACTGAGACATAGAAACAAGTAGAAACATCAGAAAATGAGGACATTTCTATAACCAAGCACCATGACCGTGAACAGGCCTTAGGGTATATATTTGTTAAAAAGCTCTATGTGCACACAACACACACACACACACACACACACACACACACACACACACACACACGTTGTGTTGATTAAAATGAAACATGTATTGAAAATAATATAGTGTTTGCACTTATCTTCTTTCTTTCTTTCTTTCTTTCTTTATTTTGAGTTGGAGTCTCACTCTGTCACCCAGACTGGAGTGCAGTGGCCGCTCCTGACCACTGCAGCCTCGACCTGCTGGGCTCCGGCAATCCTTCTGCCTCAGCCTTCCAAATAGCTGGAACTACAGCATGCGCTACCACGCCCGGCTGATTTTTTTTTGATTTATTGTAGAGATGAGGTCTCACCAAGTTGCCCAGGCGGGTCTCGAACCCACGGGCTCAGGCAATCCACTCACCTCAGCCTCCCAAACCACTGGGATTACAGGCTGAGCCACTAAGCCCGGCCTCTTCTTTAATTTTTATAGACGTGTCTCGCTTTTCTTACCCAGAAAATTAGGATCCCAGATATCATTAGTATAATTATTTATTGGCTTTATCCTGTGATTTAAAATAACAATACACATTCCAAAACGGTTAGAATGGCTAAATTTCTAAAATATTTCTGAACGTCACTTCGTCTTTGGAAGGCATCCCATGTAGTATGTAGTAAAAGTACTGATTTCTTTATTTTTTGAGTCAGTCTCACTCTGTCACCTAGGCTGGAGTGTAGTGGCACGCTCACAGCCACCCCAGCATCAATCTGCTGGGCTCAGGCAGTCATTCCATCTCAGTCTTCCAAGTAGCTGGAACTATAGGCGCATACTACCATGACTGGCTAATTTTTTTTGGGGGGGGATATATTGTAGAGACGAGGTCTCACCAAGTTGTCCAAGCTGGTCTCGAACCCCTGGGCTCAGACAATCCTCTCGCCTCGGCTTGCCAAAGTGCTAGTATTACAAGCTTGAGCCACTGCACCTGGCTTAAAAGGACTGTTTTCTAAACTCCTCTGAAACAAACAAACCCTCTCTTTGAACTGGTGTGATACTGATATGAACGCGATTGGGCTTAGTTGTTTCACACCATTTTAAATTTAAGGGATTTTTGTGAAAAAAAAAATTGTGAGTATGTAATTTATATGATTCAAAGGTTAAAAATAAAGACATATGCTTTCAAGGCCACCCATCCATTTATGTGTGTGTGTGTGTGACATGTCTGTGACACACACACACACACACACACACACACACACACACACACACACACACATATAAACATAAACACACAGTCCAAAGTGGCCATGATGCTTATTTTAAAATACAGTAAGTCCCTTACATATGAACCTTCAAGCTGTGAACTTTAAAAAATGTGAGCAAGCGTTTGCATGTCCAATCATGTAAGTTAGTTCACCTGTCTGACGTACAGTGTCACACACGTGCATCCTCTACAAGTGGTTGTGCTCTGTGTACTTTGCTGTACAGTACTGTATGGAGTATACTATGCAGTATCTGTATTCTGAGCCCAGGATGTCCAGAGCAAGTATAAAAGTGCAGTGATGTGGCTGGTCCTGGACAACTGACTGTGTTAGCTGAGAACCCGGGCTAACTTTGTTGAACTTATGAGCAAATTGGACTTACAAACGTACTCTCGGAACAGAACTCATTTTCATGTAGGGAACTTACTGTATGTGTGCATATTTTACAGTTATTTTGTAAAATACAGACAATTTTTGCTGTGTTAGGGCATACATTTTCTCAGTTGGAAAGTCTGTGATATATGGTTCTGTGCTTAAGAGTGGGAATGAACGCAGACATTGGGACACATCATCTCAACTGGAAGGCTTGGGTGAGGAGAGACTTCTGGGCCAACTTAGGGCAGTTGATGTCTTCACAAACGAAGTCTTTCAGGCAACACGCACAGCCGCTCCTCCATCACGTTGGTCTGTCTGAACACCTTTCAGGTTTGCCTCGGCGGAGTTGTTTAGCTTTTGAGTGTATTTAAAATGTACTAAATGTAAATGCATGCTTGTATATTTCGCACCCAGAAATTCGCTTTCAACTTACGTTAAAGGGCTTTTATATTCACATCCATTGCACATAGTCTGAGATGGTAAACCGCAAGGTGTTACAGGAATTCATGTATGTCCTAGTTGGTAAGGGTTATTTGAAAATCAAATATTCTACAATTTAAGGTTTTTACGTGGTGAGGGCATTCTTCTGCACTGTCTCCCACCATTCTAGTTTTTCTTCAATTCAAGAAAAATTTTTGAGACAGGTTCTTTCTCTGTCACTCAGGCTTGGAGGGCAGAGGAATAGTCATAGCTCAGGCGATCTTTCTGTCTGGGACGACAGGCACACGCCACGGTGCCCGACTAATGTTCCTTTTTGTAGAGACGAGGTCTTCTATGTTGCCTGAGCTGGTCTCGAACTCCTGGGCTCAAGCAATCCTCCTCCCTCAGCCTCCCAAATTGCTGGGACTGCAGGCGTGAGCCATCGCACCCAGCCCCCGGTGTTTTTTTTTGCGTCCTGAGTGTTGGGCTCATTGTTGACGAGGCGGGAGAACACGGCTAGAAGCCGGTCCTCGAGCACAGGCTGCCGAAGACGCGCTTCCACCCTGCAGAGAAGCCACCGTGAGCCCGTCTGTGCCCAGAGACGCTTGTCTCGACGAGCTCGTTGGGAAAGTCCCCGTGTGCCGGCGTCTCTTGCAGAGTCGTGAAGACGGTGGCTGTGAAGATCCTGAAGAACGAGGCCAACGACCCCGGCCTGAAGGACGAGCTCCTGGCCGAGGCCAACGTCATGCAGCAGCTGGACAACCCCTACATCGTGCGCATGATCGGCATCTGCGAGGCCGAGTCCTGGATGCTGGTCATGGAGATGGCCGAGCTGGGGCCACTCAACAAGTACCTGCAGCAGAACAGGTGTCTGTCCTGTCCGCCCCTTCTCCTCCCCCTCCTC